ATACCGACTCTGTCCAGCATGTCCACGGCAATTGCGTGGGCCTCTTGCTTGTCGACCAGCCGATGGAGCATGATCGCTTCACGGATCTGGTTGCCGATGGTGTGAACTGGCGAAAGACTAGTCATCGGCTCTTGGAAGATCATGGAGATATCGCCCCCGCGAATGGCGCGGATTTCTGTGCCAGACGGTCGCAGTGACGCCAAGTCAACAGTGTGTCCGTTGCGATGCAGCAAGATTTCGCCATCCACCAGCCGCCCAGGTGAACTGGTTAAGCGCAGAATCGATGATGCGGTCACACTCTTGCCACAGCCACTTTCGCCGATGAGACCTAGCGTTTCTTCAGCATTGATCGAGAAGCTAATACCATCGACGGCATGGAGAACACCTTCATCGACAAAGAAATAGGTCTTTAAGTTATTGACTTCTAGCAGTGGATTCATCTATCAATCTTTGGTGCTATGGCGTTTGGCCATCTGAATCAGTGCTCGAATATAGCCAAAGATAAACGCTTCGCCCGACAATCCATCCGGTGTATTGGGCACATGATCCGGCACCACCATGCCATCGAAACCGACATCGGCCAGCGCTTCAAAGATGGCAATCATATCAACATAACCATCATCCGGAAATGTCTCGTTGAAGTTGGGCATGTTGCTGCTGATATTGCGAAAGTGGACTTGATGAATCAGCCCTTTGCGGCCAAACTCACGGATGGCGGCCACGATATCTTCGCCTTCATCATCTGGCCCAAACATCTCGGCCCACGATCCGACACAGAAAAGAATGCCATTGTAGGGGGTATCGTTGGAGATCGCCATGCCGCGGCGATAGTTGTCCGTGCTGCGAAAGATGCGGGCCACGCCCTGATGAGTGACTGGTGGATCGTTGGGATGCAGTTGGAGACGTACATCTGCCGCCTCGGCCACGGGCAAAATCTGATCGAGGAAGTACTGATAGGTCTCCCACATGTCGTCATCGGCATAGGTGCGGTCATATTTGTTTGGCATTGCCAGCGCAGCATCCAACTCAAAGCGACGGGTTGGGCAACCGCGGGTTTCGGTGCGATGGGTTTCGTAAGCGCCACCTGTGTGCCAAGCATATGTTGTGTGCTTGATGCCTGCCCGCCCCAGGTTTTCGACAAAATGCTGCATCAACGCAATGGAGGCATCCCGCTCTGGCAAACCCAACGTAATTTCAGGGCAACTATATTTGTCGTTGAGCATGATCTCGTGGAGATGCAGCCCAGCGTTTTCGACTGTCTCCTTGATGGCGACAATCTCAGCATAAGAGCAGCGGTCGCTAGTGGTACGCACCTCTAAACTCTCCACCCCCATCCGCTTGAGGTAGGCAAGGTGATCATCTGTAAGCATTGTGGGCGTTTGGTGACTGACACCGAGTTTCATCATTAGCGGTATTCTCCAACGCCCTCTTCACCGCGGCGATAGTTGAAGAACTCTACCGTTTCGGCTGTCATCTCGGCAAAAATTTCGCGACCAGCGTCTGTCTCCAAGCGGTAAGTATTACTACCATTCTCTGGCTTCACCACAATGTGCCCTGGCGTGTCAACACCTACGGTATGCAACCACTCGTTGAGTAGCGCGGGCAGACTTTCCTGTGGATTGCGCCTATCAACCGACTTTTCACTTGTATCTACACTGTAGAATACCGAGCGTTGCTGAACGTATGGAAACCAGCGTGCTGCCTGAATGAAGTGGGTTAGGCCACGCAGTGCATCCGGTGTGCCAATGCGGGCCAGGGCTTCGGTGGACCAAGCGCGTGCATAAGCTCCATGACGATGCAACGCACGAGTCAGGGCTGGCACAGCTGCACCTGCGTCTGGGCCGATGCGGGTGAGGGCTTGAGCCACTATGTGTCCAGTTTCCGGGATGCTGTTGTCAAGGAGTCTGGCGAGTGCAGGAACGATTTGGTCGGCAGGTTGCTTGATAAGACCGAGGGCGGTAATGACAATCCGCTGCATGAGATGGTCGTCGCTATCGAGTAGGGGTACGATGGCATCAACTGCATCGGTGGCTAGTGGTCCCATGTCGCCGAGGGCAAAGATTGCTGCACCACGCATGTGTTCTCGCTCGTCGGTCAGCAGAGCTTTGAGCGCTGGCACGGCAGGTTTGCCCATTGCGGCAAGTGCATACGCGGCCTCGCTAATGTGGAGGATTCGTTCTTTTTCAAACGCGTCCTTGCCAGCATCCATCTCGTCAATCAGCGTGTTGATGGCTGGTTCACCGATTGCAGCCAACGAGTAGACAGCATTTACGCGGATCGATTCGTGTTCGTCTTTTAGTGCTTGGCCCAGAGCAGGGATTGCGGTTGCATCCCGCAGCAAGCCCAGTTGATTGACGGCTTTTTCCCGTGTGCGGATATTGCTAGAAGCCAACTGTTCGGTTAAGCTAGCTACGCTTTCGTCTAGGGCTGAATCGCTAGCAAAACGAGCCGGGTTGCCCCGTAGCCAGTTCCAGACATAGGTGTGGACGATCTCCTGATCCTGAGGAACGTAGCTGGTTTGAGGTGGCAGCCAATCAGTGGCCTGATTATTCCACGTTGGCGCTTCCGGCTCTTCAGTTCGCATGAAGACAAACTTCATGCCATAGCGTGCTTTGTCTAGGTAGTTGAGGAAGACAGAATGCTCAATATCAAAGTGGAGGAACCAAATCGTGCCCAATTCGCCAGCGCAAGGAATGAGCGTTTGGTTATAGAAGCCAGTGGGCAAACCACGGGTACCATCTTCACGTACGGTCGGGATGATTTCCCGGGTGTTGCCCATGGGTTCAGCGGAGAAGTTGCGTAAGTATTGATTGCCTGGAATCACACAGGTTGGGCCTTGTTCGATTGGGCACGCTTGCGGGAAATAGAAGAGAATTAGCCAGCGCGGTAGCCGATGGCGCGGTCGCTTACCGCCTGCGTGTCCATCCTTGTGTATGCCCATGAGCAGCCCTTGCCCCTCATCCTTTGGCTCGGTGGGGAAGTTGGGATGGCAGTGACGGTGAGCGTGTAGGACATAGTTATTGCCCAGCAAACTGGTAAGGCCACCAACCACTTCGGGCGCATCCAGCACAGTCTGCAACTCTGGCACCATGGGTAGGATGTTGTTCAGCGGGTTTAGCGCGTGAGACGCTGCCATATCGTCGGTGTTAGAGAAGATGTCATCGGTCTTCTTGTAGATACTTTCGTGCAGGCTCAGCGGTAAATCAGCTTTGATTGACACGAAACCATTGACGATAAAATAGCGCATCTGCTCATCAGTTAGAAGGTAATTCGGTTCTGTTCCGTTTATGTTAGTCATTACTAACTCCACCTGAGTTTTACTGAATGATGAAAGATTTCGTCTCTCAATTTACGGTAGTCTACCGGGACGGAGTTGTTCAGGCGTAAGCAGTGGCCATATTGCCAGGGCCAACCACACGGCAACAACTCCTTTGGGGGAGACCACCCAATTTACAATTGGGTTATTTATATGGATCTGCCGCATCTCGTAACCCATCGCCTAAAAAGTTAAACGCCAGTACGGTTACAACCACAAAGAGCGCTGGAATAATCGTCCACCAATAAATCGCAATGCTATGAATATTCTGCGCCTTCTCTAACAACACGCCCCAACTCACGGCTGGCGCTCGAAGACCTAAGCCCAGAAAGCTAAGCGCGGTTTCTGCTAAAATTACATCTGGAACAGCCAATGTAAGGTGAACAATGAGATAGGATGCAAAGTTGGGAATCAAATGGATGCGAATGATGTTCCATTCACTGACGTTGGCAACCCGTGCTGCCAATACATAGTCCAATTCACGTAGCTCCAAGAATTTACCACGCACTACTCTTGCCAAGCCTCCCCAGCTAACAAGCGAAAGAATAATCACAATGCCAAAGTAGACGCGTACCACAGACCAGTCGCGTGGTAGGGCCGCACTAAGCGCTACCCATAGTGGAATCGTCGGGACCGAAATCAGAAACTCGATCATGCGCTGAATGATGTTATCGATAGTGCCGCCAAAGTACCCAGAGATGCCACCCAAGACCACACCGATCACAAAGGACAACGCCACACCGACAAGGCCGATTGAGAGCGACAAGCGCGCGGCATAAATTGTGCGTGAGAAAACATCCCGTCCAATCGCGTCTGTGCCAAAGAGAAAAATTCCACCTGATTCAGCAACACCAAAGAGGCGTAGATCTGTCTTAAACAGACCTAGAATGTAATGGGATTCGCCCGACACCAAAAAGCCAATGGGGAAGATGAACGATTTATCGACTGTATATACTTTTTCCAGCGTCTCTGGATCGCGCGCGGAAGTTGTGCCGTAGACAAACGGGCCGATGAATTCTCCTTGTTCATTGAAAAAATGGATACCTGTGGGTGGCCGATAAGAGAATGCCTCGAAACGCGTCTCTTTGTTGTAGGGAGCAATAAAGTCGGCAAAGATGGCGATGAGATAGAGAATTACCAGTACCGTGCCGCCGAAAATTGCCAATTTGTGACGGCGGAACTTCTGCCACATCAACTGCCACTGAGACGCTAAATAGTACCTCTCTTCTGCACTGATTTTGTTCTTCGTTTGGCTCTTGGAGGCTGTTGATGTAGTTACCGTTGTCACGATTACGCCTCCTGTTCGCTAAAACGGATGCGCGGATCAACTAACACCAGCAACACATCTGAAATAAAGGTGCCGATGACGGTTAACACGGTCAGGATAAAGAGCAGGCTAGAGGCAAGAAACATGTCCTCAGCAATCAGCGCGCTGTATAGCATGGGGCCGGTGGTAGGCAGATTCAACACCAACTCCACAATGAAGCCGCCGGACACAACAAAGGGCAGTGTCCAGCCAATGGTGCTAACAATTGGATTTAGTGCCACGCGCACTGGATATTTGAAAAGCAGTCTTGATTCGCCAACGCCTTTGGCCCTGGCGGTAATAACGTACTGTTTATTTAGCTCATCCAATAGTGAAGCCCGCATCACACGGATCAGGCCCGCTGTACCCGCTGTGCCGATGATGACAATGGGGAGCGGCAGATGTTTGAGCAGATCGACAAACTTGGCAAAGCTCCACGGCTCTCGCATATACTCAGGCGAGAAGAGTCCGCCAACACTAATCCCAGCATTCAAAAAGATGACCATCAAAATCAGTGCCAGGAGAAAGTTCGGCGTGGCCAGGCCCAGAAACCCAATGAACATGGATAGATAATCACCGACCGAGTATTGGTGCGTGGCTGAATAGATCCCGATGGGAATGGCAACTAGATAGGTAAAGATCAGGGTGGAGATGGAAATCGCCATGGTTAGCCAGATACGGGAGCCGATGAGATCTGCTACGTTCTGCTGATACTGGAAGGACCAGCCGAGATCACCCTGTACGAGATTGTTTATCCAACGCAGATATTGTTCATAGACGGGGCGATCTAATCCATACTGCTGACGTAGATTGTCGAGCCGCACCTGATCCACTTCTCGGCCAGAGCGCGCATACTGCACAGCCAGATTGTCGACAAAATCACCTGCTGGTAGCTGTATGACCAGGAAGCTAACAATACTGGTTGCGAGAATCACGATCAACATGTACAGGAAACGTTGGAATAGGTAGTTGAGCATCTAATAATCTGTCCAATCGACAATATCCATCTGCTCATATCCGAACAAGTGAGCTCGTGCGGATTCCCCTTTGAGAATTAGACGGCAACTCACTTTTCTGGTAGATGAGCCTAGCCACCAAAGATATCGATTAACGAATATTAGTCAGGAAATACCATTACGGCAGACTTGCTAATTGAGCATGCGCACGGACTGATGGGCAATTAATTCACAGGGGGGTGTTAAGCGGACATTCTCTGGGCTATGACCAGCTAACAATGTACACAGAAACTCAGCTGCTCTCTGCCCACAAAACGCGCTGGTTGACGAATGACAATAGATTAGTAGCATCCGAGATGACTACGCCTATGATGCCCGTGCACTGGGTTGTCAAGCTGCAGGCGGCGCTGGGGTGGTAAGAAAAAGAAGGATGGCATTGTTGTAAGTTTGCTTGCAGGGAGACTTTGGCACTGAGTACTTACACGTTACCAGGCAATTATTGGGCGACTCAACTAGATACATTAGAGATAACCAATTGCGTAACCGGTTACGTAACCGGTTACGCAATTGGTTATTGTATACTACAGTTCCTAATACATGTCAAATTCAATTTGGCTATGCAAAACCATCGAAACGCCTATGCCTTTATTAGAACTCTCCGCCTAAATGCCTAGGAACGGACTGAACACAGACCAACCCAATACAGACATACTGTGATATAATTACTTTATTCTGATATTCTTGACGATTCCCGAAGGGTAAAATGATGGTAACGTATAAAGCAATGTATAAATTTCTGGAAGATGGTTGGGTGCACGGTGAGGTGCTTGATTTTCCAGGCGTGATTACATGTGATGCTGATCTTCAACGAACCCGCATAGCACTGGCAAGTGCTCTAGCAGAGATGGCAGAGATCGTCGCAAGCGAAGGCGAACCACTGCCCCAACCAAATCCAAGCTTAACTCACGAAGATGCTGACCTAGAAGAGCCGATCTATTTGCTCATCCAGGCAGCGAACCAAGTCACTACGATAGCTGAGCCACTAACACAATGAAGCGTCGTGATCTAATTGCCCATCTAAAGAGGCATAATTGTGAGCTGCTGCGTGAAGGTGGCAGACACTCTATTTTGGAAAAATTCGAAAATTGGTGCCCGTACAGCAGTGCCTCGTCATCGCGAAATCAACGATTACACAGCACGTGCAATTTGTACGCAGTTGGGCATCCCATCACTTTAACACAAAACACACTAGCTCTCCGCTGGAATGACAGCTCATCATACTGCACAGAACTTAACCAGCGGGAAATATTTAGAGATTGTATCCCCAGACCCAGGCGACGTTCCCCGGTCGTTGCGCCGCAGTTCCGACAGTTCCGCCGCCCGATCTGAGGATTGACGATAAATTACTTATCTAAATCCAACGAGGAGTTCCACCATGCAAGCCCGTCGGTTTGTTCAACACCCACTCTTTATCCTACTCTTGATTGTGTCCTTACTCTCCCCCTTCGTGTGGCAATGGAATGGGCAGCGGGGCAAGGCACAGGCAGCAACGGTTGCCAAATCGGTGACCAAGCCCAACAACCAAACAGATCTGCCACCAACCTTACTGGAAACCCTCCCTACCGATGGCACGGCGTGGGATGGTGGTCCAGTTACCTTTACCTTTGACCAGCCGCTTGAGCCCGCCAGCACCATTGCGTTTTCCGTCGAACCGACACTGGCTGGCGATGTTGTGATCACAGAAAGCACATTGACCTTTACGCCAACGGCAGTCCCGCTTCCCGGCGCACGCTACCACTTGTTGATCGACGCTGACGCCACTGGCACCAACGGTCTGGCATTGGGAACACCCGTCGAGATTAGCCTCGTCGCGGCGACACCACTTACCGTCACCTCGACCCAACCAAGTGATGGCAGCGAAGAGATCGATATTGATAGCCAAATTGTCATCGTCTTCAACAAGCCAGTGGTGGAACTTGTGGGGATCGATGCTCAGGGTACACTGCCCCAACCATTGACGATTGAACCGGCAGTCGATGGTAAGGGGGAATGGCTCAACACCAGTATCTACGTCTTCCAACCGGCGTTGGGATTGGCTGGCGGCACCGCGTATGCAGTAACCGTGGCTGATCTGACCGGCCTCAACGGGGAAGTGCTAGAACCTCACAGCTTTAGCTTTACCACCGCATCGCCGATTGTGACCGATGTACAGAGCCGCAGTGCCACCATGCCCTATAGCAGCGGCCCAGCCATTCCACCCGATAGCACCTTCCAGATCAGCTTTAGCCAACCGATGGATCGGGAAAGTACGGAAGCGGCGCTGACATTGCTGCAACTCGCAGACGAGCGTTTGGTAGCCATTGATGCGTTCACCTGGGCCGAGGACAGCCGTACCCTCACGGTGACACCAACTGCACCGTTGGATTTTGGAGCAGAGTACCAGGTAACGGTCGATGAGGCGGCCCAACCGGCAAGTCGGCAGGGCAATCTGCGCGAACTCTACAGCGAAACATTCCAAGTCGTTCCCTTGCCAGCGGTTGCCAACACCGTGCCACTGGATGGTGCCACCGAAATTCCGCCCGATGTGAGTGTGGTCATCCGCTTCAATACGGCACTGAGTGAAACAACTGTTTTACCCAATATTAGCGTCACGCCTACCCTGACCAACACACAGGTCTACAGCTATTTCCGTAGCTGGGAAAACGCGGCGGAGGTGAGTTGGGTTAAAGAAGCTGATACCACCTACACCATCACCGTCGGGGCGGATATTGCCGATCCGTATGGCAATACACTGGGTGATCCCTACATCTTCAGCTTTGCCACCGGCGATCACAGTTCCTTTGTCCGGATGGGCATCGACCGCTTCACCCATTTCAGTGCCTATACCGAGACACGGGTCAGCACGCTCTACCGCAACGTCAGCAGTGTTGATACCAGGCTCTATCAGTTGCCCATCGAAGAAGTATTACGGTTGGCTGGCCAGAATCAATGGGAAATCTGGCAGAATTACAGCGTCCCCGATCCTGACCAGAATCTGCTCTGGGAACGTAATTATGAACCGATCGTCGGCTCCAACGTGACGGCACGGCAGGTCATTACGCTGACCGATTCTGCTGGCGATCTCCTTGCACCCGGTTTCTATCTGCTCGAAGTGACTTATCCGGAGCGAGACCCAGAGGAAGATCAGGGCGATCCATTTGCCAACCCCACCCAAGCGTTGATCGTGTTGAGCAACAATAATCTGCTACTGAAAAAAAGTACCGTGGGTGATAGCTTAGCGTGGGTGACCGACCTACAGACGGGAAGACCAGTAGGCGATCTATCAGTCCGCTTTTTCCACAGCAGCGGCTCGGACGAAACCGCAACCAATGACGATGGGATCGCACGCATTCCGCTAGACCTCGATTCAGAGAACAGTTGGACACCAGTAATTGCGATGAGTGGCAACCCAGGTGATCCCAACTTTGCGGCCACCTCCAGCGAATGGAACGAGGGTATCGGCCCGTGGGATTTCAGTATCAGCGGCGGTTATGGTGTAGAACCATACCAAACCTACTTCTACACCGACCGTCCCATCTATCGCCCCGGCCAGACGATCTACTGGAAAGGGATCATCCGTCAATTGGTCGCTGATCAATATGAACTACCAGCAACCGATCTGCCCGTCACCATCATTATTCGCGATGATCAAGGCGAAATGCTGCTAGAAGAGAACCATACCCCCAGCGCCAATGGTACCCTCAACGGTGAGCTAACATTGAGCCCAGACGCAGTCACTGGCTTCTACTACATGGAGGCACGCCTGCAAATTGCCCCTGATCGCACGGTCTACGGCGGTGCGGGCATCCAAGTCGCGGCCTACCGCAAACCAGAATTTGAAATCAACGTCAGCAGCGATCAAATCGACTATCTGAATGGCGACACGGTCAATGTCACCGTGCAAGCCAACTATTTCAGCGGTGGCCCACTTGCCAATGCACCGATTACGTGGCGGCTGCTCAGTGAGCCCTACTTCTTTAATTGGCAAGATGCCGACGGTCGCTACTACAGCTTTACGCCATACGACCCAGAGACCGAAGATTACGATCCCTACCGCCGCGCCTTTACAACGGGCATGGTGCGGGAGGGGATTGGTACCACAAATGGTGATGGTACCTTTACGCTGGAATTACCAGCCGATCTGAGCATGGCGTTACAGAGCCAGCGTTGGACAATTGATGTAACCGTCCAAAGCCCCACCAACCAGTTTGTGAGTGGACGCACCGCCTTCCCGGTTCACAAAGGTGAGTTTTACATTGGCTTGCGTCCCCGCAGCTACGTGGCACAGGTAGGCGAAGCGGCCGAGATCGATCTGGTCACAATTACGCCACAGGGGTTTGCCTACCCCGGTAGCGAAGTTGATGTGACGATTTATGAATTCAATTGGAACAGTGTCTATGCCCAAAGTGCCGATGGTACCTTTGCCTGGCAAACAAGCGTTGAACGCACTCCCGTCTTTACCACTAGCGTGTTAACACCACGCAGCGGTATGGAAACGATCACGTGGACGCCGGAAACGGGCGGGCAATATCAGATCGCTGCCACCAGCCGCGATGATCGGGGCAATGAGATTTCGAGTGCGGCCTTCCTCTGGGCGGGTGGACGTAGCTTTGTGGCGTGGCCACGTGAAAACAACGACCGCATCGAATTGGTCGCGGACAAAGAACTCTATGTACCGGGGGAAACCGCCAAGATTCTGGTGCCAAGTCCCTTCACCGGTACGGTTGAGGCATTGTTGACCCTCGAACGGGGTGGTGTACTTGAGTCGCAACTTGTCACCCTTAACGGCAACAGCGAAACGTTGGCAATTCCGATTACGGCTGATCACATTCCCAACATCTTTGTCAGCGTAGTCTTGGTCAAAGGCGTCGACACCAGCAACCCGACGCCAGCAATGCGCCTGGGCTATGTCCAGCTCAATGTGGATACCGCGGAAAAAGCCCTGACGATTGAGGTTGCACCATCGGCAGAGACGGTACAGCCACGTGACAGTGTTAGCTATACATTGACTATCCTAGATCATTTGGGCGAATCAGTGGCAGATGCCGAGGTAAGTGTTGCCTTGATCGACAAGGCTGTGCTATCGCTGGCAGAGGGCGATACCCGTCCTTTGCTTGACATCTTCTACTACGAACGCCCCCTCGGTGTCACCACCGGTGCATCGCTCAACATCAACCGCGACCGCCTGAGCCAACAGTTGAGCGAAGGAGCCAAAGGTGGCGGCGGTGGTGGCGGTGGCATGGGGCTGCTGGAAGTACGTGAGAACTTCCCCGATGTTGCCTACTGGCGCGCAGCATTGACCACTGATGAAAATGGAGAAATCTCCTTTAACGTAACGTTGCCCGACAACTTGACGACCTGGACGCTGGCCGCCAAAGCAGTCACTGCCGCTACGCTTGTCGGTGAAACGACCAACGACATTGTGGCCACCAAGGAATTGCAAATTCGCCCACTGGTACCCCGCTTCTTCACCGCCGGTGATGAGGCGCAAGTGAGCGCGGTTATTCGCAATACATCGGAGCAAGATATCGACGAGGGTTGGTTAACCTTCAACATTAGCGGCTCTGACATTGACTTTGATACAAATCAAGAGCGCTTCACCGTTGCCGCGAGCGAGGAAATACGTATCAATGTACCCATCGCGACCAGCAGCACAGTGACCGAGGTAGTGATCCACTTTACGGCAGATGTAGAGGAAGGACCAGCATTGCGCGATAGTGTTCGTCTCCGTATTCCGGTCAAACGTTATGAAACGCCCGAAGTGGTCGGCACCGCTGGCACCGTCCCACCGGAGGGACGACTGGAAGCGATCCGGCTGCCACAAAACGCAACTGAGAATGGCGAACTAGCGATGACGCTGGAGCCCAGTTTGGCTGCGGGGATGCGTGATGGTCTGACCTATCTGGAACACTTTGAGTATGAATGCAACGAGCAGACGGTGAGTCGTTTCCTGCCCAATCTCTTTACCGTGCGGGCGCTCAACCAACTGGAGATTGAGAATCAGGAACTCGAACGCAAACTTAACTTCCAGCTTGGCATTGGCGTCCAGCGCTTGGTCAGCCGCCAAAACGATGATGGTGGTTGGGGCTACTGGCCCGGCGAAGAGAGTACACCCTTTGTCACGAGCTATGTGCTTTGGGGCCTGGTCAATGCCAAGGCGATAGAGTACACCGTGCCCCAGCGCACACTCGAAAGCGCCGCTGATTATCTCGACCGTCAATTCCAAGCACCAGATGCCGTTGCCAGTGACTGGCAGCTCAACGAAATGGCCTTTATGAATTTTGTCCTCGCGGAGATGGGTCAAGGTGATCCAGGGCGGGCCGTGACGCTCTATGCCGTACGTGAACGGCTCAGTTACTATGGGCAGGCACTGCTGGCGATGACGCTAGCGAATCTGGATGAAGATGGGGGACTCAATCCACGGGCGCAAACCTTGCTCAATGACCTCTATGGTGCAGCCCAGTTGAGTGCCACGGGCGCGGCTTGGCACGAAGAGAATACCGATTGGTGGACATTGAACACCGATACACGGACGACAAGCATGGTGTTGGCGGCCTTCGTTCGCCTCGATCCCAAGCAGCCGCTGTTACCGATGGTTGTACGTTGGTTGATGAGCGCACGCGAAGCGGGCCGTTGGGCAACCACACAGGAGAATGCCTGGGCGATCATTGCGCTGACCGATTGGATGGCTGCCTCGGGCGAATTGGAAGGAAATTATGATTGGACGGTTGCACTGAATGGCAATGAGATTGGTGCTGGCAGCATCACGCCAGAGAGCATTAACACACAAGTGCAGTTGCAAGTTGCCGTGGCTGAGTTACTACGTGATGAGGCCAACGCCCTCCAAATGACACGCAGTGATCGGGAGCCATCTGGACGCGGACAACTCTACTACACCACCCACTTGCGTTACTATCTCGATGCCCTTGCCATCGACGCACGTGATCGTGGCATCGTCGTTGACCGCCGCTTTGAACTGGATGGGCAATCTGTGCAAGCCGCAAGCGTTGGTGATGTGATCAGTGTGACCGTGACGATTGTTGCCCCCAGTGCTCTCCATCACGCCTTGATCGAAGTGCCGATTCCGGCTGGCACCGAGCCCATCGATCCACGGCTGGCGACAACGAGTGCGCAGTATGACGAATATGGCCAGATCGTGCCCGTCGATGACGGTCGTCCTTGGTGGTGGTGGACACCAACCCACATTGATCTGCGCGATGAGAAGATGGCTCTCATTGCGACCTACTTACCGGCAGGCACGTACGAATACACCTTCCAAGTGCAGGCAACGGTGCCAGGTGAGTATCGGGTGTTGCCAGTACATGGTGAGATGATGTACTTCCCCGAGGTGTGGGGGCGGAGTGCTGGCGCACTATTTGTCGTGCGGGAGTAGTCAAACTGTCCAACGCGGATCACAATTCGTTCCGCTTTCTGGACAGTAGATCGTACCTGAATAGTCAACCCAAAGGTATTCATGTGAGAAACATTCTGTCGCAGGGGCAAGGCATGCCTTGCCCCTGCGACAGAATGTTTACAGAATGGAGGGAATTCTCCATTCTATACCATCAATAAACTCTAGCAAATGTTTAGCGATGATTCAAGAAGCATCTCATCAGAATTTTTCAAATAGAACTGAACCACTGCCTGCTAATCCAACTTCGGCGGAAGCCGTATCACAGCACCCAACGCCTGTAGATTATGCTTCTGTGCATCCGTCACTCCTTCCATACCGGTGATATCCATAGCAGCTAAGGTCCATTAGGACGGAGCGTTTGCAAACAAGCACCGGTTTCTACATTCCATACGTTGATGCTGCCATCAACGCTACAGCTGTATAACCTGCTGCCATAGGGGTTGCAACATAAACCATTAATTCCCTCGCTGTGGCCAGCAAGCATAGATAAATGCCTCCAATCCCCGACACGCCAGACATGGATGGCAGGTGTTTCATCGTCCACAAAAAGTAACTGTCTATCCGGACTAAAGGTGACGGCATAATTCCAGCCGGCTGGTTCAGTTAGCCCATGCAATAATGCGCCAGATGACCAATCATAGAGACAGACCGCACCAGCGCTTGCACATGCAAGAATCGTGCCATTGGGATGAAAAGCCACACCCAGTGCTGCGTCATATTCTGGTGCAGTGAGATTGATCGCGCCAACTGCAATGAATTGTCAGCGGGCCAACAATCGTTTGCAACATCTCCTCAGTTTGCCAGTTCCAAATCCGTACAGTGCCATCCGTTGAAGCAGACGCCAATCGCATCCCATCAGCCGTCAATGCAATGTCTTGGATCGAGGGTTGCGCAACGTGGCAGAGACGGCCCCCTATTTCCATGATGGCAGTATCGCCACACTCGACGAAGCGGTGCGGGTGATGGGGGAATACCAGTTGGGCATGGAACTAACCGATGCCGATGTGGCGGACATCGTTACGTTTTTGGCCAGCTTGACTGGAGAGATTCCTGAGGCATATATCGCCGTGCCTGAATTGCCAGAAGATAATCTGGATCGAACTCTACTCGAACAGTAATCGAATTCCCTTTGCTTACAGGCAAAATACATAATTGGGTGTATCCCAAGAATAGGGAGAAGTGATACTACGACTAAAACGATCCCGGAATCTTTGGAGATTCCGGGATCGTTTCAGCTGGCCTCCTCAAATTTGGAATGCGCCCAGAACATTCTGGTTTTTGACAGATATGGTTTATCGTGTAACATTAACCTTGCTCCCTCGCAAGTATTACTGAAATTCGATCCTTAGTTACAGTTATATGCAGTTGGTTCGTCGTACCACCCAACATTTGCCCCTATCTGCGCACCAATTCCAAAGCGATTTCCTCAGCAAAGACGATAGATATCAGGAGTAACCATGACAACCCAACCACAGCTAAGTCAAAGCCACGAAGGTGCGCGCATTCATTACAACAAAGCAGAGGAGGATCGATTTTATCACCGCGTTTGGGCGGGGGACGATGTCTACGTCGGGGTTGGCTGGTTTGAACACGCGACAGACAGCGTCTACGATGCCTGTCGCCGCTTGGTCGAGCGCATGGCCGATCGTGTCGCCCATCACGGATCGGGTTCTCGCGTACTCGATCTGGGAGCAGGCTATGGCGCGGCGGCGCGTTATCTCGCTGGTGAACGAGACTATCAAGTCGACTGTCTCAATTTAAGCGACGATCAGAACACGCAAAACCAAGCGCGCAACCAGGTGCGCGGCTTGGCCGATCAAATCAGTATCACCCAAGGCTACTTTGAAGATCTATCTTTTGCGGACGACGCCACCTATGATATTGTTTGGTCACAAGATGCCATCATCCACAGCCCCAACAAGCCACAAGTCTTCGCCGAGGTCAATCGGGTGCTCAAACCGGGTGGTGATTTTATTTTCGTCGATGTCTTACAGAGCGCCGATGGTGCCAATGATAGCTTTGTGCAGTTCATTGTCAACTATTTTCATCTAGAAAGTCTCGGGTCGTTTAACCTCTATCGACAATATGCTGACCAACATGGCTGGCGGGAAATCGAAGTGCTCGATCTAACCGATCAACTCGTCACCCACTACCAACGCCTCCAACAACAACTTACCGAACGCTATGACGAATTGCAGGACGAGTTCAGCGCCGAGAATCTGGATGGCAGAAAAGATCGCCTCCAACAGTGGCTACTGGCAGGCAAAGATGGCAATCTGGAATGGGGGCTGTTTCATTTTCGGAAAGTGTAACATTTCAGCTAATCAGCGAGTCAGCCTTACTGTTAATTATAGATGGTCAGAAATAGATTTCGTGTCAAAACACTCTTTCGTAGGAGCGCAATATATTGTGCCCCTATGAAAGGTTATCGGGATGTCTTTGGCTGAAGTGCTGACTCGCAAAAACACGAACAAAAAGGAGAAACACGTGCGAAAATTCAATGTGCTATTTACGGTACTAACGGTAGCAATTCTGCTATTCACAGCTTGTGCGCCAGTGGCCACACCAACGGATGGCGCAGCGAGTGATGATGTGGCGAGTGATGATGCTGAGGGAACTGCCGAAGCTGCTGTTGATGAAGCTCCTGTTTATGAGAATTGGGACGATGTGCTAGCCGCCGCCGAAGGCACGACTGTCAACTGGTTTATGTGGGGTGGCTCGGATACGATCAATGAAAATGTTGATAACGACATTGGCATTCCGCTGCAAGAACAATTTGGCGTGACACTTAACCGCGTGCCCGTTGCCGACACGGCGGATGTCGTCAACAAGGTACTCGATGAGTCAGCGGCAGGCGTCACCACGGATGGCAGTATCGACCTCATCTGGATCAATGGCGAGAACTTCAAAACGCTCAAGCAGGCCGACCTGCTCTATGGGCCGTGGGCAGAATCTATCCCCAATTCCCAATACGTCAACTGGGAGGATCCCGCATTGGCCTTCGACTTTGGCTATCCCGTAGAAGGGTACGAATCCCCTTGGGGCCATGCCCAGTTTGTGATGGAATACAACACCGCATTGGTGGGAGATGAGCCACCGACCACCTTTGAAGATTTACAAGCTTGGATTCACGAGAATCCCGGTCTCTTCACCTATCCAGCTATTCCCGACTTCACGGGGAGTGTCTTTGTGCGTCATGTCTTTTACTGGGCCGCAGGCGGGCCTGAGCCATTCCTGGGTGAGTTTGACCAAGCAGTCATCGACGAATATGCTCCAGCGGTCTGGGAATATCTCAATGACATCGAGCCCGATCTGTGGCGTGGTGGACAGACCTACCCCGAAGCCAGCGTGATGGATGATCTGTTGGCAAACCAAGAGGTTGCCTTCAATATGGGCTATGGCCCTGGCAATGCAACCACCCAGATTCGCGAGGGGACATATCCAGAGACAGTTCGTACCTTTGTCTTTGACACAGGCACGTTGACCAACAACAACTTTGTGGCGATTCCCTTCAACGCCAACAATCCAGCCGGGGCAATGGTCATTGCCAATTATATTCTCTCCCCAGAATTCCAACTGGTAATGGCAGACCCCGATCAATGGGGTTGGTTGCTCCCCACCGATCCCACCCGCTATGACGAAGAATTCCAGGCCACTCTTGCCTCCTACGAATTGGGTATTGCCACTTTACCTGCTGATGTATTAGCCGCACATACACTCCCCGAACCCAGCGGTGATTGGGTCACGGCAATGGAGCAAGGTTGGATCGAAAACGTGCTGGAACAATAGATATAGTTTTTCAGATAGAGAGTAGTTCTCTGAGCTATGGTGGGGTTGCTGACCACGACACCAGACAGGTTTTGAAAACCTGTCTGGTGTTTACCCCACTATCCTCAAAGAGCCTCAAGAGTTTCCATGCTCCCTTCGACAGGCTCAGGGGGCATGGAAACTCTTTATCTGAGTAGCGGAAAGTGATTTTATGCTACGGTTACGGATTTTCGAAACACTACGTGTCCCCCTCCTACTCCTACCCGCATTTGCTGTCCTCATTCTACTCTTTGGTGGTGGACTTGTTGTCGGTATCGGTCAGAGCCTTGGTTATTTCCCAGTCATCGGGCTCACCGACTTTACGACCCAGCACTACGTTGCCGTGCTGACCGATCGGAATTTTCTACAATCACTCTGGTTGACCTTCCGTATTGCATTTATTAGCACCTTCTTATCATCGGTGCTGGCAGTGGCCTTCGCGCTTGTCTTGCGCGAGCGTTTTCAAGGCAGCCGATTGGCAACTTTCCTCTTTCAGGTGCCATTGCCAATTCCTCATTTGGTCGCTGCCAATGGAATCGTCTTGTTGGTCACCCAAAGTGGTCTATTGGCCCGCGGAGCAGTAGCCTTGGGCATGATCGACCGTCCTGCTGAGTTTCCCATCATGGTTTTTGACCGAGCTGGGATCGCCATCATCCTTACCTTTCTCTGGAAAGAAGTGCCCTTCATTGGACTTGTTGTGCTGGCCATCCTCCAGAGTGTGGGACCACAATTTGAAGAGTTGGCTCAAACCATGGGCGCAAACCGCTGGCAACGGTTCTGGTATGTATTGTTGCCGCTGATCATGCCCGGCATCCTATCAACATCGATTATTGTCTTTGCCTTCGTCTTTGCCAGCTATGAAATCCCTCTCTTACTCGGTGTGCGCTTCCCCACAACACTACCAGTCCTCGCATTCCAAAACTATCAAGACCCCGATTTGGCACTGCGTCCCCAAGCAATGGCGGTTAGCGTCATTTTGGCGATCATCGCCGTGCTCTTGCTGGTTGCGTACCGACGTTTGGCGCGGTATGCTATCAGTTAACCTACGGAGACCCAATCTATGAAACGCTTCTGGCGCTGGCTTGCTGTCATCACAATTATCGTGGCAGTACTAGCTCCGATTATTCCCCAACTGATCTGGTCGTTTGCCTTTCGCTGGTTCTTTCCCGATC